TGCTTTAGGGTAGAAAACTTGAATCAGCGAGTTTTACTAGAATTTAAGTAAGGAAAATTATGTTCCATTGATTTCTAACAGTCTTATGAATTATGATGACACCAGGACGCTACAGCATTTTTACTAATTTTTAGCATTTTTTGGGCGGGGGAGGGAGGTGTTTTTTATCCTTCCATATGCATCCGACCAGACACATACAAATGTAATGTAGTTAGATCACATTCTTAAAAATCATTCAGCCCTGATTTTTTATGAATTTTCTGTTTCAAAAGGAGAAGAGGGATGGACAAAACCCGAACCTCTACTCGGAGCATAAACAGTCATATCAATATACAACTACTATTTTATACGCTACTAGTTTTTTTGGTGGTGGTGTTTGTGTGTGTGTGTGTGTTTCATTTCATATATGAATGAAGCCAGACGCATAAAAATCTAATGTAGCTAGGGTTTCACATTTTGAGAAATCGCTCAACCTTGATTCATTCTGGAATTTTGCTTCTTTCGGCCCAAACAGGGAAGCGAGATGGACGAAACTGAACATGGAGACAAACCCTTGGAGAGCGAGGAGAGCAGTTTTAGGACAACTCCCGAGTCTTGTTTTTCTGTGAGCCATACAGGAGAAAAGTCTGGGGAAAATGCTTCATCCCAACATCTAGCAAACCACACCGGTGAGAAACCCTACATGTGTGGGGAGTGTGGGTACAGGACAGCTAAAAAGTCTGACTTATCCCGACATATGAGAACCCATACAGGAGAAAAACCCTACAAGTGTGACCAGTGTGACTATTCTGCAGCAAGGAAATCCCACTTGGACATTCATCTAGCAAAACACACTGGTGACCAACCCTACATGTGTGGGTAGTGTGGGTACAGGACAGCTAAAAAGTCCCACTTATCCCAACATATGAGAATCCATACAGGAGAAAACCCCTACAAGTGTGACCAGTGTGACTATTCTGCAGCAAGGAAATCTTCTTTGAACAAACATAAAACAAAACACACACCTTTTCCCTATACAAGAGAAAAAAACTGCAAGTGTGACCAATGTGACTATTCTGCAGCACGGAAATCCACCTTAGATGATCATAAAGCAAAACACACCGGTGAGAAACCCTACATGTGTGGGGAGTGTGGATACAGGACCACTTACCGGTTTTGCTTAGCCAAACACATGAAAGGCCACATAGAAGAAAAACCCTACAAGTGTGACCAGTGTAGCTATTCTGCAGCCTCTAAGACTGCCCTAAGTCAACATATGAAAATTCACACGGAGGCACCAACTCTGCAACTGTGACCATCTCGTAGTGACATTTAGTACGACCAATCTTCTCTTAACTATATACAGTTTCTCTCCATTCATATCATGATTAAGTATACATTGCTCATTGTCGTCCTCTATTTAAAAAATAGGCGAAAATATTTTGTAAAAATTACCAAAATTTGCAAAATGGGAAAACCTTCTCCCTATGAAACGTCATTGTCATGTACTTTCAACTGCATCCACTGCTTTCTGATTACCCAACAAAGGTTCAGTTACAAGAATATTTCTTAGAAGCCTAATGCACACTTTGTTATTTAATAGTAGGTATTTATTGTTTAGAACAAAAATTTTTAGTTATTTAGAACTGAAGTAGAAGAACATTTAAGTTGAAAGTATTTTTTGGATAATGTACATATACATATAATCAGTATTTAACATAGGTAAGTGATTGTAGACAATAGTTGAAATGTAGTCGTTGAAAAAGTATGAATGGAGCTTCGATTTCTTGTTAAAAGTTATATATGACTGGTTTATTTATTTCCACACAAATACAAATACAATACCATAGCAGCCCTTCGGCTGAATTGTGGTTATTGTTTACATTTAAACAATATAAAATCAGCTATAACGATTCAATACAACAATGTTAAACAATATACAATCAGCTATAACGATTCAATACAACCATGACTTACACAATGAACATGTCAACTATCATTTAGTAACTTTACAATGAAAGGTAAAGTACTGTTCTTAAATCTCGATGTTCTGCAGCTAAATTGACTGATTTGATTTTTGGACCTGAGTTCTCTGCCATGTACAATTGCACGTGTAGGCGGTAACCAACTGGAGAAAGTAGGGGATCTTGATAAAGACACTGCAAACTTCTTACAGAGTAGGACTCGTCTCTGGTACAGAGAGGTAAGGGACAGCTGGCCTAGGGCTGCATCATAGTTGACGTAGTTCTTACCCAATACAATTCTACATGCTCGCCTTTGCACAGACTCTATGTGTCTAGACTGAACAGAGGTGATGCCTGGGTGCCACACGGGGCAAGCGTACTCTAGTAGTGGTCTTACAAAACCGCAGAAAACTAGAATCAGGTCATTATCACCAAGTCTATACTTCTTTAGCACTCGCACCAGGTAAAGTCTACGGTTGGCTTTGCTCACCATTGAGTTTACATGGGCGGACCACTTGAGATCAGATTGAAGTGTTACACCTAGTACTTTCGCAACATGGACAACTTCCAATACAGACGGCCCCACAGACAACTGTGGAGGTGGGGTGTTCTCTCATAAAACATACTACCATTACTTTGCACTTAGATGGATTAAGTTCCATATGATTAGACCCTGTCCAGTGAACTAAGCTATCAATGTCTCTTTGGATTGTGGAGGGAAGACTGTTGTGCCTGGACTCAGCCAATGACATGTCATCTACGTATTTCCAGCCTGCAGTAGATGTTTCCTCTGCTGGTACCGCATCGTTGATTAGTGCCAAGAATACCAGAGGTCCCAACTTTGTTCCCTGAGGCACTCCGCAGGTAAGTGTTTCCCATTCTGATGTAGTCCCTTGGTACTTAACACGTTGGTGTCTCTCCGAAAGGAAGGCGCAGATCCACGGGACGATCGATCGTCGTACTCCAAGGGAGATAAGTTTGTTGATAGCAGTAGGGTGATGAACCATGTCGAATGCTCGGGTAAAATCAGTCAACACCAGTGTATTGATGAAACCAGGTTTGTCAGTTGTGCTTGTTAAGTAATGGACCAGACTTGTAAGGTAGTGAGTTGCAGATTTCCCTTTAAGAGATCCATATTGGCGAGAGTCAATCCTGGGCCAGATATCCTGCATACACCAGTCTGACACGAATCCCTCGCAGACTTTCGCGAAAAAAGTTTTGTTAAAAGTTACTTTGACGAAGTGCGTGCCTATATGTACAACAAATATATTGACTAAAATATCAACTCTGTAAACTAGCATTTGGTTCCCTTCAGTTTCCAACATTAGTAATTTTACAATTGTAAAAACGTAGACGTTATATTGTACACGAGACTTTACGAGTAAAAGCTCTTGTTTGTTTTGTAGTTTTTTTCCGAAGATGTATCTACATATATTTTCCACTAAAAAAATTAAATCGTTATGTACCTTGAACATAATGTTTCCTTGTTCCTGTGTTGCTTCCTTCCCTTGGAATGTTGTCAGAGGTGGTGAGTTCATCTTAAAACACAGAAATCAAGATTTAGACCAAACAGTTTGGCTTGACATTAATTTCTTTAGTAATTTTTCCCTTTTGTTGTTTAGCTTGTCTGTTTGAAGTGTAAAACGCTGACATTATGAGGAAACTAAAACGTAACATGCCACCTGATGTCAAATGTTCTACATGGGTAATCAGGCAGAGAATTTCACCTTTGACCCAATTGGCGTTCACCTCTGACCTCTCGAGACGACGGAAGGACAAAGCTGCCCGAGTTCCGGTTTACGTGAAGAGAAAAACCGTCATAGGAAGCAGGTAAGGCTTAGAAACGGGCAGAAAAGTATTCTAATGTTGAGGGGAATAGTTTAAGACCTTTTCTGTGGAAGAAGAACCACAGTTGGATGATAATTTGTAGGCATTTTCGGGATGTGAATATCGTGGAATTAAATGGGGAGGGGGGCGAAACCTAACATCAGGCAAAGTGGCCTTTTTGGAGGGCGTGAAATGATATAAACGTATAGGCATGTTTACTAGGTTTTAAAGAAACACATAAGGCGTAAATTACTAGTTTGCAAACGTAATTGATCTGTGAAAACAGCGAATGAAGTCGGGATGGTGTTTGTGTGTTTGTGGTGGGGGGGGGTCACTGAACAATCTTTTAGGTAATAATTTATAGTTTTCTATAAATTCTATTTTATCATTGAAAGCTTATGACGCTTAATCTGTATGATTTCTTCATTTTTTTCGTTAGGCTGAACATGGCAATGGCAGGGCACGGGTCTCCCACCAGAGTTGGTCAGAACTGCTGTGATGGGTCTCCCACCGGGGTTTCCCAGGTCGACTGTGACAGCAAAACAAGCAGTGCTGAAGACCAGACGGCAGCACAAATCAACTTGGATAACGCTGGTGAGAAGCCCTACATGTGTGGGGAGTGTGGGTACAGAACAGCTAGAAAGTCTGACTTATCCCGACATATGAGGACCCATACAGGAGAAAAACCCTACAAGTGTGACCAGTGTGACTATTCTGCAGCACGGAAGTCATTTGGATGATCATCTAGCAAAACACACGGGTGAGAAACCCTACATGTGTGGGGAGTTTGGGTACAGGACAGCTGAGAGGTCTGCCTTATCCCGGCATATGAGAACCCATACAGGAGAAAAACCCT